AAATGCTATAAATTTTCCTCTAAACACTGCTTTTACCTCTTCCTACAAGTTTTTTTTTTTTTTTTTTTGCTTCATATGCTGTGGTCACCTCTCCAAATAATTGCAATTTTATAATATTTTTCATACAAAAAACTATAAAGATAAGCTAACCTTTTATTTAAGAGTTGATAAACTTTTGTTTTATTATCGATCGCTGTATGGGATTCTGAAGCCACAAAACTTCAGATACTGACTACTCACTGTAGTATTCTACAGGACTGCTTTTCAAATGGGAAATCTAAAAAAGTGTATTCCACCAAATTCCCATCAACACAGAAAAAAATGGTGCATTTACAACTGAATACTCTGTGTTCTTGAGTATATTCTTGAGAGTAGAGAACTTCCATTTTGAATAAATGCCAGTGAGAATGCCAGATTGTGGAATTAATTGTATATATTTGATGACTTGGAGACTTTTTCACAGATTTAACTTCTGGCTCTGCATATTCTAAGCCTTCTTTCCCCTCCATTCCCAATTACTTCTGGTGCCAGGTGCAGTGGGACATGTTCCTAGGGTGACAGTACTGGTGGTCCTGTACCTGCAGGTGAGGGTGTCAGGTGAGTCGCCTGGTGAGGAGTCCTGGAAACCTTTCCCGTGACAGGCTTGCTTCCTCCAAAGCCGTGCGGGGAACCAGAGCAAGTGCATCATCCCTGCTGAACGATTTCTGCCTGCAGGGGGCAGTGCAGGCCACTGGCTGCGGCTGTGCCAGGCTTTTCTTTCCCCAGGAAAGGCTGCAGAGGGATGAGTGACTGGAAAATCCTCTTTCACACGTAAGTTTTCTTCACCTCTCCCGAGCTGGTTTAAACCTCAGTGTCATTTTCCTCCTCTCTTTGTTCCCATTCACTACTTTTCTTGTCACAATCTGAAAGTCTGTAATTCCCAGAGTCTGCTTGGAATAGACCTAGCTGCATCCTCTCCCTTCAAACCACAAGTTGAGGATTAGCACAAGAAAACGAAGTTTAATGTTTTGTTTATTCTATTTCTCTGGAGGATATTTCTCAGGTACGTCGCCAGTGGTTTTTTTTTTTGAGACAGGGTCTCACTGTCGTTCAGGCTGGAATGCATTGGTGTGATCTCAGCTCACTACAGCCTCGACTTACCGGGCTCAGGTGATCCTCCCACCTCAGCCCCACTGAGTAGCTTGGACTATGAGTACGTGCCAGCATGCCCTGCTAATTTTTATATTAATTTTGGTAGAGACGGCCCAGGCTGGTCTCAAACTCTTGGGCTCAAGCAATCTGCCCGCTTTGGCCTCCCTAAATACTGGGATTACAGGCATGAGCCAACATGCCTGGCCAATTATCTCAGTTTTTATTTATTTTTTAAAAATTAAACCTCATAAAAGGATGTAGTGAGCCATAATCAGAATGAGGAAAAGTCTGTTAAAAAGATAAACTGAGGCACAATAAAATGTTCAGAGTTTATTTGAACAAACAATGATTCGTGAATTAGGCAGCTTCAAACCAGAAGTGGTTCTGGAGCTCCACAGAGGGAGAGGCTTTCACAGGCACATGGAGGTAAAGCCAAGAAAATGTTTGTCGGGTTAGATAGCTGTCTTATTTTGCCTATCCCATTGGAAAGCCCCTCATTATACAATTATTAGCTTTTTAGGCTGCTTCTGATTCATTGAGCTTCAGTTCTGTTTTTCTTTAATGTAGGCATTTACAAGAAATAGCTCAAGTTAAATTTTGCTTGTATTTGCAAATCACGCCAGGTTAGACTCACTTAGAAGGCCTAACTGGCTTTGTCTGTGCAGGAATTCGTCAGGCTTGGCCCCCATTTTAATTTAATTGAACAATTTTATAGGACAAGTGACTCCACGTCTTCGTAAAAGAAATGGTGTGGAAAAAAGGAGGTGAGATGGGGAAGTAACTTTTAGATGAAAAGAAACTTAAGAGACAGATCACTGAGTGCAATGTGTGGACAGATCCTGATTTGAACAAACCAACTATAAAAAGACCACCTGTGAACCATGTAGGGAGATGTGTGCATGGTCTAGAAATTACACAATACTGAGGAATTGTTGCAATGGTTGAGTGTGATCATGTGATAGGTGATAGCTTGGATTATGCTCCAGTGCATGGGTATCACCCTCTACTCCCCCTTTTTAGCTGTAGGGGTTAGAAAAGAAGGAGGCAGCAGATGCAAAACTCCAGGGATTAGGTGACAGGGACCTTAGTCAAGGGGGTGGCAGTAGGGTGGTTGGGAAGGGGACCACCTTTTTCTCTTTCCATCTTTCCCGTCTTCTCTTCCTCATACACTTACACACTTAAACACTTTTTTTTAAGGAAATTTATTTTTTATGATGCATCTTTTTTTTTATATATTTTGTTGCGTTTTAGGTTTTGGGGTGCATGTGAAGAACATGCAGGATTGTTGCATAGGTACATACATGGCAATGTGGTTTGCTGTCTTCCTCCCCATCACCTGTATCTGGCATTTCTCCCCATGTTATCCCTCCCCAACACCCCACCCCCCGCTCTCCCTCCCCTGGTTCACCTCCACAGACCTCAGTGTGTGATGCTCCCCTCCCTGTGTCCATGTGCTCTCATTGTTCAACACCCGCAGTTACACACTTTCTTACCCTGGGGCTTTCCATAATCTGTTGCCCCTTCTCAGGAAGCCCTCCCTCACTCCTTCGTCTTCCATCTTCCCCAAAGCCAGGCAGGACTTTGATCTTGCCGTCTCCACTGCCAAGTACCCTGTCCATTCCCTTCCCTGAATGCGCACTGTATTCCCAGGCCATTGTGCACAGGTCGGTCCTAGGTCATGTGCTCATCTCTACAGCTGGATAAGGGACTCTTTGAGGCAGGGCCAGAGCTGGGTCTGATGTGTCTGCTTCACCCCTCACAGCCTGTGTGCTCAGAAAAAGTTCCCTGATTGGGAAGTCCACCAAGTTCACCAGGCAAACACAAGTTATCCCAGAATATGTCTTTTCATAGAGAGAGGGTGGCCCCAGAAGTGCCGGTGCCACCTGGAGGGGAATTTGGAGGCAGTGGGAGCACCAGGCAGCAGCCTGCAGACCCCCTGGAGGGTAATGAGTGACAAGGCTTTATTTCATCTTGTCCCATCCCTGACTGTGACTCTTCAGATAAGCTGCCTTGAAGAACGAGGCAGGACTTTTGGCAAATTAGACCCGGTGTGCTCCACTGCAGTGGCTGTTAACCCTAGCCACACGTTAGTATCATTTGGGAGGGCTTAAAACTTAAGCCTGACAGTGAGCTCTCCGCACCTCCTCCAGACTGAAGGCTAATTAAAACAATCTCCGGGAAGTGGGGTTCCAGGCATCTCATATTTTCAAACCTGTTGAGGTGATAATCATTGTAGCTGAGGCTGAGAAGCTCTGGGCTGTGGGAGTCTTTGCCCCACTACAGAGCTGGGATTTAAGGGAGCCATTTACAAAGCTGCTGGCTGGTCCTTGTTGGCTGTGCCAACAGGGAGAGCAGCCTCACAGTATTTTATTTCTGCATAATACAGTCCACAGTCCCAACAGAAAGCAAGGGAAGGTTCTTAAAGCCATATGCTTCAGGAGAAAACTAGGGTGTAGAGTTGCTGTGAGGTGAAGTTAGAGGGATGGGAGAGAGGCCTGTCTGCAGAAGAAAGAGGGGCTGGACAGGTACTTCAGGAGCTTTCACATTCCTTGGTCTGGGATGGATGGGTAGGGAGCAAGAAGGTCGGAGGGATTGAGGAAGCAGCACTACCCCTGGGAGTCATAGTGCAAGGAAGAGCTCTTATGGCCCTGAGAGGACTGGGCTGCCTGGAGCCCAAGGTCCCAACCTATCACTTCCCATGGAGGGTGAAAGTGTCCCTGCCCCTGGGGGTCCTGATGGAGGTCTCTGTATCATTGCCAGCCCTTGCCCAGAGGCTGTGTCCTGTGGGGTGGGGTGGGGTGGGGTGGGTAGGGGTGTGGCTGGGAGCTGAGCAGGGCAGGTATAGGTGGCAGAGGGGCAGTGGTAGGTACAGAGAAGTACTAGCCAGCTTGGCGTCTCCCCCTCACAGCACCGCCCCCGTGTGACCACTGAGTGGGGAAAATGTATGAAGTACTTCCATGATGCTTAAGGCAAGAAAAGTAACACATTTTTTATTCTTTCTAAATGATACACAATCCAGCCCTGAGATTCAGCTTATGAGGAAGCCAGGTCTGGTTGCTTCTGGGATCTCCCTAAACAAGAGCCGTGAGGCTCCCAGGACCCACCTTGGCTTCCTGTTTCCTTTCCTTGCTCTGCCTGTTAACGGCATGGCCTCCTCGAGAAGGCTGCCCTCATGCCTCCGGCAGTAGCCCTTTCCTCTGCCTGCCGCTCGGGCTAAAAAAGTTTGGTTATTCTGTGTGCCAGACTGCCATTCCCATCTGAGACCTAGCTATCCTTGGAGTGTTGGGCCTGAGAGGGTTTCTGGTTACAACTAGAAGCAGAAACCCAAACCCTTCCCCTCCTGCAGCTGATTTGAAGGGACTGACGCAACACTTTCTTCAATCTCCAGCATTCAAAGCTGCAAACTCCTCATCTCTGACCAGCTGTTCCCATTGGATTCACCTGGGTACTTTAAGAACTGCTGACTGGCTCTTACTTCCAGGTTTCCTGATTTAATTGGTCTGGGTGCAGGCTGGGGATAGAGACTTGAAGTTCCAGGTGATTCTAATCTGCAGCCAAGGTTGTGAGCTGCTGCCAGCCCAATTCCTCGTCATTAGGCATATAGAAGTTTCCTGAACCCAGCTGTTTGCAGAAAGCGAGTGGTTAACATCAGCACAGGATGCCAGGTCTTCCACCTGCTGAGATCCAGTGTCTTTAAAACCCTGCGCAGGCTGAAAACAGTGTCTAAAGAGTGGCTCTTAGTGACCAGCATGGTCACTCACCTGGGCTTTTGAAAACAAGAGCTTACTCACAAACTCACCTAGCAGGTAAGAGAAGTCCATGCCTTTGGGACCAAAAGTCCTGGCTGTATTTGAGGAGGAATAAAACACAGCTGTTTTACACCCAGGTTATAGTACATTTCTAACAAATCATTCTGCTACACTAGCTTACTTCTCTGTGCCCACTTTGAGTGCCAGTTCCGTAATGCTAGGGATTATGTCTGTGAGTTTTCTGCTATATTCCTACTTTACAGGACAGAGCCTGGCACCAAGCCAATCTTTGTCATAAGAACAGATGAATACTTGGGTGGGTGGAAGGGTAGATGGATGAATGAATGGGAGGTGGGGTGGGTAAGTGGATGGAAGAATGAATGGATAGATGGTTGGGTAGATACAGGATGGCATACAGAGAGATGAACCAGAATCACCGCCTCCTGAGATGCTCTGGAAAACCAGCCTCTCACTCAGGATTTGTATTAGTCCGTTCTCACACTGCTATAAAGAACCACCTGAGACTGAGTAATTTATAAAGAAAAGAGATTTAATTGACTCACAGTTCTGCACAGCTGAGAGGCCTCAGGAAACTTATAATCATGGCAGAAGGCAAAGGGGAAGAAGCCTGTCTTACCATGATGGAGCAGGAGAGAGAGAGACAGAAGAAACAGGGAGAGAGAAGGCGCTAAACACCTTTAAAAAGCCAGATCTTGTGAGAACTCTGTCATGAGACAGCACTAGGGGGACGACGCTAAACCCTGAGAAAGCACCCCCACCATCCAATCACCTCCTACCGGCTCAGTCCCCCAGCACTGGAGATTACAACTGAGCGTGAGATTGGGGTGGGGACACAGAGCCAAACCATATGGGAGTTCTTTTCAAAAGGCAGAATTGGCGAGGGACTCCTGAAAGCAGAGCAACACATCAATTCAATGTTTAAATAGAGCCTAGGAAAGTTTCCTTTTAGCTAGTCACGTGGTCACCATTTAAGATTTTGTAAGAAGCCACCTCATTGGCCTTTCTGTCTTGTGACACACAGACCCCATGATTGGGAATAGAAAGAAGGCACATTCTTAGGAAAGCCGTCAACCTCACAGGGTGACCTTTCAGATACAATGATTTGTAAGAGAAGAAAAAAACGCTGCAATAAAAAGATCGCTTTCTTTCATTCTTTTCCAGCTCCCTTTATTCCTAAAGGGAATATCTTTTGAGTCACCTTTTATTCCATCATTGTATAGGCCTTCTCTCTGCTACCTGTATGGAAGGGAATCCCTCAGGGCTGAGATATTTCTGAGCAGGTGGAGGGGGGGTGATGGGAGGATTCGAGGTGGCTCTTGTCAATTCCTGTCCTGACCTGGTTTCATTCCAGCTGCTCTTAATTGGCATGCAGAGCCTGCTGGCTTCCCTCATCTGTCTCTTCCTAGTGAGTGAGTGGAAAGCAGGCCATGGCCCTGAAGTATGCAGTGTCCCATCTTCCGGGGACATTGGATCCAGGCCTGTCTGCAGGACCCTGTCTTGAGTGGCTGCAGGCTCTTGGCTCACCTTATGGAAGCTTTCAGATCTTGACGTGGGTCAGGCCTTGAGGACAGAGAAGTGAAGAGGAAGGCAGGCCCTGGCCTTAATTTTGCTCTCTCTTTGTTTAGTAAGAGCTCCTGAGTCAGCAGTCTGTTCCACTACCCCGATCAGCTCTCACCTCTGACCTTTGCCTGGGTAGGAACTGAACCCACCCAATCCTGTTTTTAGACTTTGCCATGAATGGTAAACCCATCTCCTGGAGGGGAGTCAGTGCTCCGCCCCCGCTCCATTGCAGCAAGTGCACGAGATGAAGGCTGAAGTGTGTTCAGTATCCAGCCTGCCTAAGAGTTGCTGCTCAGCTGACGTGGCTCCTTCCTCAACACAGACACTGTTGCAGCTAGAACCAGAAAGGACCTGGTGAACCAGCAAGGGGCATCTTATTCTGAGGATGTGAACCTTCCTGGGGGAGTCCTGCTTCTGTCAGGCATGACATTCCAAATACTTATAGATGACCTCCCAGAAACCAACAGCAAAGACCAGACCTCTGGTAGGGTAAGGTTAAATTATTTACTACACAACATCCACATTGAGATGTCAAGTAGACTGTTGGGTGTATGAGTCTGGAGTTCTATGGAAATGTCTGAGCTAGAACTAAAATGGTTGGGAGTCTTAGACATGAGGATATTATTGAAATCCAGGGGTGGGTAGAGGAGGCTTGAAGACAAAGCCTGGACATTGTACCATTTAGAGGAAGCACAGACAGCCTGAGTCAGCAAAGCACACTGAGTGGTAGCAGCCAGCGAGTTAGGAGGAAACTAGACCCCTTCATGTCTTTGATATATATAGAGGTAAATCATTAAGATACAATACGAGAATGGTTAAAGGTGTCAGAATCATAAGTACCAGAGAGTTTGAAAGGAAGAAATATTACTAGTGTTTAATGGAGCACTTAATATGCATTAAGACCCATGCTCGCATTGTGCACAAAACTTCAACAGCTATCTACTTTAAATTCTGCATCTTATAAAAATTACTAGCATTTAGTGAGTGCTTGATATGAGTTAGGACTGGCGTTCACATTATGCACAAGACTTTATGAGGTAACTTTTCTACTACATTCTCCATATTACAGAAGAGGCATTAAGTCTTAAGAGGGTAAAGTAACTGGACCGAGGCCAGATGAGATTTACTTCATGTCCATCTGACTCCACATCCCTTTGGGTAAGGACTAGGCAACACTGCCTCTCTGGGGCACTGGGGACTGAGGAGGAAATGAGAGGCCCTCAGAGGAGACAAAAGGCATTTTCTGTAGGGCTACCTTTTGAAAGCAGATATAGAATTGCCCTCTGCGGCAGCAGAAGGCAGCCCCAGGGCCATGCTGGAGCTACTGAGATGATTTCATTTGGCACATGGAAGGCTTTCTGATACCTATGGCTCTCTGAGCCACACGAAGGTAGTGGGATTCCTCATCAGCAGAAGTGTTCAGGGAGGCGTAGACAGTATCTTCTTTCCAGTTCACCCTGCTGCTCCTTGTGTGTGACAGGCTGCTGCTGGGAGCCAAGCTCTTTTTCTGAGCTTTCTCTTTTTTTCTGCTTTCTGGGCCATTAAGTGTAATTCAAATACCACAATCCACTGACTTTTTTCACACCTTTTCCCCAAGGCTTATTTCCCATACCTTCAGTTTTCTTAGATGAAAATCAGCCAATCAATAAGCTGCAATTCAGTGCATGTCATGTGGCTGGTGCTATATAGGACTGTACTGGGCACTAAATGTGTGCCAGGTACTGTGTTATACACGTTCCAACAACCCAATGAGGCAAGGATTACGACTCCCATTTAGCTTCAGAAACTTCAGAAAGGCAAAGTTGCAGAGTCAGGATTCAAACTTCAGTCAGCCTGGCTCCAAAGCTTGGCTACTCAACCCCTATACATCATAACCCTGACTTGACCATGGTGTTACACTTCTCAAAGTTGTCCAGGCGAATGTGCAAGCTGCCTTGTGAACCTTACCGGTTAGAGGATTGCTGTGTTTCTCACCATAAGCTGTTAGCAGTAAATTAGTAAGTATTGAAGTTTTGGTGAAGACTCAACCTCAGAAAGCTTAGCTGAGGAATAATGTGGTTCTTCCTTGAATATCAGCCGTGGGCAATAGGGGCTGGATACCCAACCACATCCATAGCTGCCGGTATTGATACCGACCCAACACTCAGGCAGGGCTCACCCTGGGATGTGGGTGCATGTGGTGGTGGGAGCAGGCACTAATTTCTGCATGCTGGTTTTTTTTTTTTTCCTGCTAATGACGCTTTGTCACTAAATCACTGCAGAGTTTGCAAAGTGCATCCTCCATAATCTTATATGATCTTATACCTGGATACCTGGAAACAGACAAGGTGGGTGCTGTTGTTACTGTTCTATAGGTGAGGAGACTAAGATCCAGGGAGGCTAAGCAAAATGCCCCAAATTGCAGCCAATTAAGGCAGAACAGGGACTCCCATTTGCTTTCTGCTGCCTTTCCAATGACCTACATCTGCCTACAGCACCTTGACTGTGGGCCCGGGGAGAGGAGTCCAACCTCTTTCCAGAGTTGAAGAGGTAAGTATTGGAGGAGAAAAAAATGTAGAGACAACAGCTATTGTGTTTTTCTATAGGAAATGCTGTACAAAATTTGATTATCTCTAGATTTGAAGCCAAGCATGGCAGCTGGGCTAGTACCTAATTCTTAAGCTTGCCCATGCATGGAGGAAAATGGGATATTGAAGACATTTAAGGCCTTATTGCTGCATTAATGCAGGAGCTCACAGTGATTGCACTATGAAATTTACCTGGCAGCCCAGCAGGGATATTGCAGCTAATTAATTTTGCCTGACTTTATGGAAGCCTCCTCATTTTTAATCCTCTCTCTGCTTTATGCCAGAATGTGAGTGAGGGAGATGTGGATGGAAATGTAATCTGCTACTTACAAAGTAGCTTCTATGTGTGGCTGCCTGGCATTTACTCCATGGCCCACCCTGCACTTTCCAGCATAGATGTTTTCTTCTCATGGGGCCTGGGCACAAAGAAAGAGGGCTTCATTCGATTCCAGCAGAACTGCAGAGGAATTGAAAATAAGGAATTCAGAGAAGGAAGGATAACAGGATTTAAGAGGCTGACTGTGCAGATTTGGTGGAGAAATTCAGAGCATTTTTTGGAGCTGGAAATGTTCTCAGAAGTCATCTATCCTGTGGATTCTAGCCCTCCCTTGTAAGGTGTGGCAATCTCTGAGTCAGTTTGGACTGTGACCCAGGAAATTGACCCGTAAGAGGTGAGCTTAGATAAGGACCCATGGAGCGATTATTGTCCAGTGCTTGATAAGGTCTAAGGATTGGGGGCGACATCTGAAAATGATCTGTGGCTATAAGGACGGAGAACAGGCAATCCAGAAAGGTCATTTAGATCTGAAGTAAACCATGACTAACTGTATCTAGATACTTTGGCTGGTAGAGGGACCCATACTGGGTCAACGTTGGGGTCCACCCTGGGCTGCTGTACCTTCTTAGTCTTCAGGCTTAGGGAGTAGAGCAGCAAGGCTTCCTCCAGCTGTGACTACATGTCCCCAAGGCATGCCAAAGTCCCTTTTGGGGCACCACAGAGAATGCATTGCAGATCAAAACCAGGGGCCATCCCCAGGCCTAAGCCATTTTGCAGAATTCTCATTTCTTCTTTTGCTGAGCCCTTTTCAGTGTTCCCACCAGCCATTCTGTTCTATAGCCTGGGTGAGTGGTACTGATACAGTTTGGATATTTGTCACCTCCAAATCTCATATTGAGATTTGATCCACAGTGTTGGGGTGGGCCTGGCAAGAGGTGTTTGGATCATGGGAGTCGATCCCCCATAAATGGCTTGATGCCATCCTAGGGATAATGAATGAGTTCTCTGTTAGTTCTCATGAGATCTGATTAAAAAGAGTGTGGCACTTCTTTCTCTCTTTTTCCGCCTCTCTCCAAGTGGTTCTCACCCTTTCCCTTCCACCATGTAGAAGTTTCCTGAAGCAGGTGCCAGCACCATGCTTCTTATACAGCTTGCAGAACCATGAACCAGATAAATCTCTTTTCTTTATAAATTACCCAGCCTCAAGTATGCCTTTATAGTAGTGCAAATGGACCAAGACAGATATGAAGCAGGCTTCCCACGTCTCTCCATTCTTGCTGCCCTCGTCCCTGGTCTTGGCCCCCCTTAGGAATGATCTTCTCTAAACATTTCTTCTAATCCTTCGCTGCCATCTCCCCATTTCATGATTGCCAGAGCCACAGGTCCCTGGAGCACTTGAGTGTCCCTGTGTGAGCAGCCAGTACTGTGCAGGAGAGGAGAACTCTGGTGGGAACACAGTGCATATCTGCAGCACAGCAGAAAGGTTACCAACTTGGTGAGGCTGGGCTTCAGCCATCTAGAGAAATGTGAAGGGGCATTAGCTTTGCCTTTTCCATTCCAGGGCCTCAGAAGTTAGGAGAAAGCATATCACCTCAAGGAGAACATTCTGAACTACAGGGCTCTCTGGGCATGAAGCTTCTGGCTACCCCAAGACAACCCTGAGGGAGGCCAAAGGTTTTTACCCATTGGTGTGAATCCATGGGTGCAGGTACTGGGTGGAGAGAAGGGGCATTCCAGGCACAGAGAATGGCAGAAGCAGGGAAGAGCAGGATGTATTTGGAGAAGTGGCTGGTGTGCAGAACACGAAGGGTGCTGTCAAGTAGATGAGTCTACAGTGGTTGGCAGGACCAACTCACAAAGACTGCGCTTCTTGACAAAGGACTTGGATTTAAAAGTACAGGAACCACTGAAAACGTTCTTTTTCCTTATTAGATTTAAAAAATGTAATAACTTTTTATTTTTTATTATATATATGTTTTAGGTGTACAACATATTGTTTCCACACAGTATAATGGTTGCTATAGTCAAACAAATCATTGTATTCATCATCTCACATAATTACCCCACCTTTTGTTTGGTGTATGGCAACAGCACCTAAAATCTATTCTTTAAGTCAAAATCCTGAACACATTATTAACTACAGTTGTCACATTGCATGTTAGATCTCTACCCTTGTTCATTCTACATGCCAATACCTTTTTATTAAGGAGTGGTTTTTAGATTTACAGAAAAATTGCCAAGATAGAACAGAAAATCTCCATTTCCACTGTGGTACTGTGATCTGGTTGGAAATATGTATAGGCATACCTTGGTTTGTTGCATTTCACTTTATTATGCTCTGCAAATATTGGGTTTTTTACAAATCGAAGGTTTGTGGCAACGCTGTGCCAAATAAGTGTCTCGGTGCCATTTGTCAGCAGCACGTGCTCACTTTGTGTCTCTGTGTCACCTTTGGTAATTCTCGCAATATTTCAGACCTTTTCATTATTATTATGCCTGTTATGGTGACCTGTGCCTGGTGATCTTTAATGTCACGATTGTAATTGTTTTGGGATGCCATAAGGCATGCCCATGTAAGACGGTGAACTTACTCCATAAATGTTATGTGTTCTGACTTTCACTCATCAGCCATTCCCCCATCTCTCTCTCTCTCTTTAGACCTCCCATTTCTCTGAGAGGCCAATTAATAATCCCACAATGGCCTTTAAGTGTTCAAGTGAAATGAGGAGTTGGACATCTCTCACTTTAAATCAAAGCTAAAATTGATTAAGCTTAGTAAGGAGGGCATGTTGAAAGCCAAGACAGGATGAAAGCCAGGCCTCTTGCTCCAAAGAGCCAAGTTGTGAATGCAAAGGAAAAGTTATTGACGGGAATTGGAAGTGCTACTCCTGTAAACACACAAATAATAAGAAAGTGGAATAGGCTGATTGGTGATACGGAGAAAATTTTATGATCTGAATAGAAGATCATACCAGCCACAACATTCTCTTAAGGCAAAGCCTAATCCAGAACAAGGCTCCGACTGTCTTCAATTCTATAAAGGCTGAGAGAGGTGAAGAAGCTGCAGAAAAAATATTCAAAGTGAGCAGAAGTTGATTTGTGAGGTTTAAGGAAAGAAGCCATCTCCATAACGTAAAACACAAGGTGAAGCAAGTGCTGATGTAGAAGCTACCTCAAGTTATCCAGAAGGTCTAGCTGAGATCGTTGTTGAAAGCAGCTACCCTAAACAGATTCCAATGTCCATGAAACAGCCTTCTGTTGGAAGAAGATGCCATAGAGGACTTTTATAACTAGAAACAAGTAAATGCCTGGCTTCAGAGCTTCAAAGGACAGGCTGGTTCTTGTTAGGGCCCAGTGCAGCTGTGACCTTAAGTTGTAGCCCATGCTCATTTATCATTCTGAAAATCCTAGGGGCCTTAAGAATTAGGCCAGGTGCGGTGGCTCAAGCCTGTAATCCCAGCACTTTGGGAGGCTGAGGCGGGTGGATCACGAGGTCAAGAGATCGAGACCATCCTGGTCAACATGGTGAAACCCCGTCTCTACTAAAAA